ACTGTTAAGAATGTAGCTGCGTAAACACAGGCTCAGAATCAGCAGGTATAAGGCATTCAATACACACTATCTGGCCTCTGTAAAATAAAAAGTGATCACCAGAGAAGAACAGTCCTAGGTTCAAGCAGCAGGTAAGGGGAAAAAAAAAAGAAACCAAATGGGAAGGGTGTACAGTGCTTCCTTACACGCACGCTGCTAAAACTCTCCACTGGTGGACTTGAAGCACTACACCCATAATAGCAACACGACTTTGGTTCTAGATCTACACATCCTATTGCAACAGTAGTTAAGGTGGGATTTTCAAAAGCACTCAGCACTGGTCTAGCTCTGCTCCCATGGAAGTCCATAGTGAAACGCCCATTGCATTCAATGGAAGTCATTGGACTTCAATGGGAGCAGTGCTACGCCAGTGTTGAGCACTTGCCCTTAAAGGCTGAGACTATAGAAAAAACAACGAGGAGTCCTTGTGGCACCTTACAGACTAACACATTTATTTGGGCATAAGCTTTCACGGGCTATAACCCACTTCATCAGATGCATGGAGTGAAAAATACAGTAGAGAGGTACAAATATACAGCACATGAAAAGATGGGAGTTGTCTTACCAAGTTGGGGCTTAATGCTAACGAGGCCAATTCAATCAGGGTGGATGTGGCCCATTCCCACCAGCTGACAAGAAGGTGTGAGCATCAATGGAGGGAAAATTACTTTTTGTAGTGACCCAGCCACTCCCAGTCTTTATTCAGACCTAATTTGATGGTGTCAAGTTTGCAAATTAATTCCAGCTCTGCAGTTTCTCCTTGAAGTCTGTTTTTGAAGGGTTTTTTTGTTGTTGTTGAAGAATGGCCACTTTTAAGTCTGTTATTGAGTGTCCAGAGAGATTGAGGTGCTCTCCTACTGGCTTTTGAATAGCACTAAAACAGCTACCCCTCTGAAGACTATAGAAGAATATCCTACCTGAGAATTACCACATACAGCACAATCCCACAAACTTGTGAGGGGCTGAGCACCACAGGATTTGAGGGAGCCCTGCATCTCCTAGGACAGTGGTTCTCAACCAGGAATCTGGGGCCCCTTGGAGGACCGCAAGCAAGTTTCAGGGGTCTGCCAAAATAAACCAGAGAGCAGGGCCAGCATTAGACTTGCTGGGGCCCAGGGCAGAGAGTGGAAGCCCAAGCCCCACCACTGAAGCCAAAGCCTGAGCAACTTAGCTTCACGAGGCTCCCTGTGTGATGGGGCCCCAGGCAATAGCCCTGCTTGCTACGCCCTAACGGTAGCCCTGGTTTTTAATCTACTGAATATGCAGAAATACAGCTGTGGCAGCACAGGTGAGCCTTGGAGTTTCTATAGCATGTTGGAGGGGAGGAAGGGGGGGCTCAGAAAGAAAAAGCCTGAGAAACCCTGTCCTAGGAGGAGTTCAGTGCATCATAGGCTTGGACCCAAAAAGTGAGCGTTCACTGTACTTTTCACCACACCTACCACCCACTTGGTAAATACCACCCACTTTCAAGGTCTAGTCACAGTATATACCAGAGGTGGGCAAACTATGGCCTGCGGGACAGTCCTGCCTGGTCCTTGAGCTCCTGGCCAGGGAGGCTAGCCCCCGGCTCCTCCCCTGTTCTCCCCCCTCCCCCGCAGCCCCAGTTCGCCGTGCTGCCCGTGCTCTGGCAGCACAGCGGCGTGGCTGGCTCTAGCCTGGCAACGCGGCTGCCAGACATGCTGCTCTGAGCGGCACGGTAAGAGGGCGGGAAGGCGGGGGGGGGGGGGGGTTCGGGGTTGGATAAGGGGCAGGGGACCCTGGGAGCAGTCAGGGGACAGGGAGCAGTTGGATAGGGCGGAGGTTCTGTGGGGGAGGGCAGTCAGGGGATGGGGAACAAGGGGGCTTGGATAGGCGTGGGAGTCCTGGGGGGCCTGTCAGGGGATGGGAATGTGGATAGGGGTCGGGCAGCCAGGGGAAAAGGAGCAAGTAGGGTTGGATGGGTCAGGAGTTCTGAGGGGGGCAGTCAGGGGGTGGGAAGCAGGGGCCAGGCTGTTTGGGGAGGCACAGCCTTCCCTACCCAGCCCTCCATACAGCTTTGGAACCCCAATGTGGCCCTCAGGCCAAACAGTGTGCCCACCCCTGGTATATACACAACTGATAGAGTTGAAGGTCAGAAGGATGAAGGAGCCATTACACCATATAGCCTGACTTCATAACACAGACCTGTAAATTTCAACTACTTACTTCTGTGTTGGGCATAATAACTTATGTTTGACTAAAGCACGTCTTCCAGAAGGGCATCCAGTCTTGAACTGAAGACACAAAGACATGGAGAATCCACCACTTCCCTTGGAAGTTTGTTCCAATGGTTAATAACCCTCACTGTGAAAATTTGTGCTTGATTTCTAATTTGAATTTGTCCGACTTCAGCTTCCTGCCATTGGTTCTTGTTCTGCTATTCTCTGCATTTTCTTCCCCTGAAGTACTTACTGTAATCATGACACCTCTCAAATCTTCTTTTTGGTAAACTAAAAAGATTGAGTTCTTTAAGCCTCTCACCGTAAGGCATTTTCTCCAGCCCTCAAATCATTTTTGCGGCTCTTCTCTGCACATTCTCTAATCTTTCAATGTTCTTTTAAAAATGTGGACACCAGAACTGGACACAGTATTCCAGCATACATCTCACCAATGCCATATACAGAAGTCATGCACCTCCCAAACCCTCTGATGCTCTACTACCCTGTTTATACACCCAAGGATTGCATTAGCCTTTTTGGCTGCAGCATTGCATTGGGAGTTTGAGTTAATTGCTTGTCTGCTATGATACCTAAATTCTTTTCAGAGTCACTGCTTTCCAGGATACTGTCCCCCATTCAGTAGGAAGGACTTGCATTCCTTATTCCCAAATGTGCAACTTTGCATTTGGCTGTATTAAAAACACATTTTGTTTGAATGGGCCCAACTTACCAGCGATCCAAATTTTAATCAAGGGTGATCTGATATTTACTTCCAGATCATTGGTACTAGGCCTGATCAACTTTTTTTTTTTTTTTTTTTTTAAATCAATCCCTGCAGAACCCCACAGAAACACCCTATTCAAAGATGATTCCCTACTGAGGACTTTTTGAGGTCAGTTAGCTAGTTCTTAGCCTATTTAACGTGCAATTTATTGATATTTGTATAATGCTATTTTTTTTTAATCCAAATGTCTTACGGTATTAAGTCAAAGGCCTTAAAAAAGTCTAAATATATTAGATCTATGCAGCTGCCTTTATGAACTAAGTGCATAATCTCCTCAAAGAATGAGAATTATATTTGTTTGACAAGATCTATTTTCCAGAAAACCATGCTGACTGACATTGTATTTGTTTCCTTTAAGTCTTTACGAACGGATTCCTTTATCAATCATCTTTTCCATTATTTTGGCCAAGATTAATGTAGGGATAACCAGCCTATAGTTACCGCTTACCTTTTTTGAATATTGGCACATTAACACTCTTCTGGTATTTTGGAATTTCCCTGGTATTCCAATAGTTCACAAAAATTATCAGTAGCAGACCAGAGATTACCTCAGCCAACTCTTTTAGCACCCTTAGGCACAAGTTACCTGGGCCTGTCTATTTTAAAATGTGTATCCCTAGTAGATAGTGTTTAATAGCTCTCTGTTTAGAAATGACCTGGAAAGTACTTCTTCATCCTCATGTGATACAAGCACATCATTCTGCTTCTTTCCAAATACAAAACTAACAATTGTTAAGACATCCTCATGACATACTCCAATGGTTCCTAAGTCCGAGAATTAAAAATACATAGGAACATTTTGCAGGAAAAAAGGAATAATTAGTGCAGCCATCCACTTGTTTCTAAACAAAATAAGAGTCTTTTTCTGTTAATTCTCTTTACACAATCAAATACACTAGTTTATAGCCCATACTAACAATTCCTAATCCTTGTAGACACAAATAAAATCAACAGAAGAAAACATTCCATGTTAGAGGAACGCAAAAAAAAATTGTTTTTATATATAATCTTATAGCTGCAAGTACCCACCTACTATTTGTCAAAAGCTGACACTGTGCTTGGTGCTGTAAAGACAGAGTAAGATGCAAATGCAGTTCTCAAGGGGCTCATGTTATAATTCAGACAGAGAATAGTCCAGACACCCATGACAAAACAGACTGATGTCACAGAGATGCAGGGTTGGGTGCTGGGAGTTTTTTTAATTTTGTCTGTTCTAGGGATTTTTTGAGTATCAATATCGGGTTATGGTTTTGTGGATTATTCAGTCAGTAATGAGAAGATGATTTTAGAAGGAATTTTTACAGTCTTTTCAGGAGACGTTGGAAAATAGATCCATTATTGAGTAGAAAGGATAAAAAAAGATTAGTAACTTGTGATTTGTTTTTATCAAATCCTGAACATATATATTTTGGTGGGGAAAAAAATGAACAGAAGAAATATTTATTTCGGAAAAGAAAATAACATTTATATCATGTTGTGACAGAAAGAATGGAGTTATAAAAACAGGAAAGCTGACAGATCCTTATTACCACAGAACTACTAACATATTTGCCGTTAGAAAAATACTCGTCTCTGCTGTTCTCACTGTTTGAGAATGTGTTCTTATTGATGTGACACAGATTTCCAGATTCTCTCTGACACACACAACCTTCTAGTGCACAAAAGAAGCAAAAGGAGCACCAGTCCTTTTCTGAAGCTTCTAGAATTTTAGCTTTCAGAACAGTTACATCAAGCGATGGGGCAAAAAAAGGAACTTTCAATGGATCGATTACATCACAAAAGTTGCAAGGGCAAAATGCACAAAATCTCTTACATTCCAACTACTAGAATGCCGATATTCTTGAATTGCTCTCTTTAAATTACACCAATAATTAGGAACTATACTTATCATTGGTCCGTGTGCTAATGCAAGTCAAATTTAAAAGATATAAATGATCTCAGACTGGGAAAAGCTGTGCTTTTTGAAACAGTGAAATAAAAAGGAAACAAAGAAGTCTTACCATTTTGATGCCAGTGGAAAATGTGACTGGTTTGACTGGTCTGGGTTTTTCCAGCTGCATTTCTAGCTTAGTAGATCTGTCTTTATGTTGAGCTAAGAGCAGGGAGGCCGGCAGATGGGAACTTTCCTGTAAACATGTTGAAAACACAGACTGAAATATTCAAAAGAAAAAGAATTAATGCTGCTCATTCTTCACGACTACAAATTGTGTCTGAAAAGGCCATCACCAGCAGAAAGAGATTACGCTAAATATTCTCTATATGAGAAACAGTTTACAGCAAACAATCACTTTCAGTAATAAGAAAAAGCTGCAGCAGCCTCATAAATCAGCGTAATCTGCAAACAACCATTTTTATAGAATCCACATTAAAGACAATATAACAGAGTCCTTATTGCAACCGGCCAATGCAACCATATTTATTAAAATAAAAAAAATTAGAACTTAATCACAGAAGGGGTAGTACAAAGTAGTATAACTTGGATCAGATGTTTATCTAAGACACATTCTTTCTACAAATGAATTCAGACCAGTTTGAAATTGTTTCCCATTAGATTTCACCTGAGGCCGTTTGGAAATGATCCTTGCTCTGCCTTGCACAATGGCACCATTGTAAGTGCAACCAATAGCATATTTATTTTTTCCTTTACCAACTTATTTTTAGGGAAGCCAGCCAATTTTTTTTTAAATATAAAAGTAATAAAATAAATAGTTAACTTGCTTAACTACTTAAAATCTTACATTTAGGTTACAACAAAAAGATTTTTAACATGTATACACATACCACATTCCAAGTAGAGGTAGACAAATTATTGGCTAAATATTTCTCTATTAAAACTAGTCCAATTATCTCTGAGCCCTGAAATACTCTAACTTCTCTTTACTGTGGAAGTGGGGCAGGGGGAGATCAGAGCGGTTTATTCCCAGACTCCCTTGCTGCAGCACTTTATGCACAATGCGCTCAAGACAGCAGATCCATTTCTGTTCTGGGGAACCAAGGAACTACTGCTTTGTGAACCAAATTTGCTACTAACTTATAAAGCAATTGAATCCTCAAAGCCAGATTGTGACTATAAATATTTTATTTTTAAAAGTTTAAGATAGAAAAATGACTTTCAATGGGAGTTAGGTGCCTACGAGCCTTTGAAAGTCTCCTGAAGTGATATAGAACCATCAAGCAGTGCCCATACTTACTACTGTAAGATTAATGTCCCCTCTTCATCTTTCCTATTGCTTGTTATGCTCACTCACTGACTTGTCTTAAAATAGACTGTGGGTTTCAGGGCAGAGATTGTATCTCACAGTGGGACCTGATCTGGGGTGAGGGATAATACAAATGACAGTGAGGAACAGCAGAGTCCTGAAAATGCCGGGGTACAGGTTCAATACCCTTACTCTCTTCTGCATAGGGACTTCTCCCCTTCCAGTTTACATGCAACTGAAAAGAGAATTTGGACCACCCATTTGCTGTGTTAGCGCCTGAATCTCTGAGCACCTGCATATCATCCAATACACTCATAGTCCAAGTGCGCGCTACAAGTGCTGCTATTCTGCAGCAAATTGTTGAGAAGACCCTACTGAATGCGATATTTTTTTAATTTCAGATTTAATATGCACTATATATGGCTGGGGGGCTCCTTAAGCTTTTTATCCTCCACCCACTTATCACGTTTGTTGTATTTCTCATGCGACAACAAAAGGCAGCCAATTTCTAAGCTAACTTCTCAGCAGTTTCTACATTAGCAGAGAGATACACAGTTCTGGGAAATCAGCATTGCACACTGCTTTTGATTCATGGTTTGTCCTATGTAATAAGCACACAGCCATTTTAGTTAACTATCACTACAGAGCAGTAAAGAGATCGATATCATAGACCAGATCCTGCAAACATTTAATGTATATAGGTAACTTTCCGTATGTGAAAAACACATTGAAATCAATGCAAGCATTTGCCCCAGGATTGTTAGTCATGTGCATAAGTGTCTACAGGATCAGAACTCACAGCTTGGAGGGAAAGGGTGTGGGGGGACTAAGATGGCTTTAAGCTACCTCCGCATCTTCCTGATTTTGGGAGCAGGAGATACATCCCCCACAGCGTAATTAAGAGAACCATGGAGGAGCTAAGTCACAGAAGCCTGTCCCTACCTGCCTTCAGACAGCATCACTGCCCAGAATTCCCTCAGCACAATGTGCTTCATCCTTGCCCGGACACGCACTCCCTGTGCCACTCAGCCTCTGGCGCACACCCCCCAGCATAAAAGGTGCTGGGAGCAGGGCTGAGAATCTCAACCGTCATGCACAGGGGAATTAATGACATCTCTAGCACTATCAGTAAACAATCACACCACGTGTTCAATATTGTATGTAAAGACAAGTTTACACATTTTGCTCAGACCCAGGATCTGAAAGTCTGGACAGGAAGAAGCATTGCTCAGCGTGACCCATGAAGAGAATAAAGATTTAAATTACAACTGGCATTTTAGTGAAAAGTGGCAGCCATGGAGACGTCATTTGAAACACTGCCAGCATGAAATCCGTCTAATCCTATATTGGGAGATAGTACGGTGTTGTGGCTAGGACAATGGACTGTGATTCAGGAGACCTGGGTTCTATTCCTGGCCTGGCAACAGCCCTGCGGAGTGACCTTGGACAAGTCACATTACCTGTCTATGCCTCTGTTTCCCCTCCTACCTTGTGCCTGTCTGGTCTACTTAAATTGTAAGCTCTTTGGAGAAAAACAGTCTATTATATTAATATAGCATCTAGCTCAATGGCTGAAGCCTCTGCTACTGTAATCCACATAAAGTGTAAGAAGCTGTGAACTAGTCTTCAAACTTGCTTTAAAATTTGAACATTAAGGGCAAAATTTTCTCTTGTTGCTGCATGAGACCTCTTAATTCTGCTATTTGTGTGCACTGCTCTCTCAATGACTATGAACTTAATATATGACTGGAGAGCAGGATATTGGAGCTGAGATCTCTTGTGTGCATCTCATATAAATATTTGCCATAAGTTTTTTCGTATTGTTAAATCAATGTTAAAGCACTTTGGAGAAAGCAATGAAAGGAGTATACACTCAACTATTCTCTGTGAAACAATTCCTAAACAGAGGGTGCATTAAGGAGAGAGAAATTTAAAATTCATGAGTGAAATCCTGGCCTCTTTGGAGTTAATGTGAGTTTTGTGATTGATCAGTGGAGCCAGGATTTCACTCCATACGTTACTAAAATGCATATCTTTACCTATAGTTCTAATACTCAATTTTTAAATCCATGTTGACAATTTTCACTTTTGTTTATATTGTGTTTATCTTTTTCATTTCTCTCAATGAAAAAAATGACATTTGTTTTACAGTTAGCTTCACTTTCAGATTTGCAACACAGCAATGTTTAGGCTTCGGGTACTGCAGGGGGGATGTTTAAAAATAAGTGTTCTCACAGAAATTTTAGGAGTTATTGAAGAAACTTATTTCTGCTGGTTTTATAAAAGCATAATTTTACAAAACTAAGCTTTGAGCCAAATTTCACAGTCCACTTTCAAAACTAGAGAGACATTCTAAAGTTTTCTTACTTTCCTTCTCTGCCTTAATATTACTTGTTGTTTTAAAAATATTTAGATATGTTTTAATAGCAACGCATGTGCAATCAGAGTTAAATTACCTATTTGGTCATGTTATAAAGATTATTTATAACTGCTCTTTTCGCAAGCCATCTGGCGAACTGTATTTCCAGTAAAACCAACTGCTGTGTAAGAAAACAATGTTGGCCCCTACTAAATTAAAAGTGTTTTTTAAAGCAGGATTGAACACACATTTTAAAGTCAGAAACCAGTTCAAAACCTTTTTCCAAGCCATTAAGGAAATATACTAAGTGTACAGTGGAGTTATTAATTGGCCTGCTAGTCAGACTATGCCTAACTAAGCAGATCATGAGCATTACTACCTTAAAAGTTATAAGACTCTGCTGGATATAAAATCTCAGATTGTTGGGGGATTTCCCTTTCTGTTGGGATACATCCACTGGAGTAAAACAAGGGGCCTTTCTGCACATCTATGCTGATGTCTAAGGAAAATGAAACACCAGCTCCTTTCAAAGAATCCAATAAAAGGCTGCCACGAACCTTGGCCCCGGGGCAAGGCAGTTCCTCAGCACAGTCCCTAAAACCGTAAAACAAACTCCTAAATCACATAACACCAATATCTCTACATTTTAGTGGATCTCCCCTTTGGGTCAAAGAAGAATTCTATATTCTCAGGAAGGGAAGAAAGTAAGTTACATCTTCAAAAACAACCAGAAATAAAATGCAAGAGAACTGGGTTAAATGTAACTTTAATGTGAGAACCAAATGAAAGCAAAGCAAAGAAATTCAGAATTAAGGTTGACACCACATTCTTAAAACACCCTACCAGCATAACAATATTTTTATATAGATTTCCATGCTTTTCTGGTTTTTCTCTGCCCATATTTTTATTTATAAATGTGCATGTGCAGCACACACACAGTTCTAAGACTCTCTCGTACCGCGCATGAGTGTAACAGTACGTTGAGTTGCAAATCCACATTAGACCACACATGCAGGGCATAGGCTGCCCTGTGATCCTAAATCACTATTGAATTTTGGGTGCACAAAGAATGATGGATTAAGAGGAAATCTAGAAGCAATCCCAGAAAATAGGTCACTTTCCAAAAGTTTTTAAAAATAGCTGACCACTATAGATTTCCAAGAACATACTATACCTAACTTAACAAAATAGACCTCTTTTCTCACCACAGTTGTCAATACGCCTCCTATTGTTTGCTAATATTTTCAGTGCGCAAAGCAGATATCCTGATCCTGTACAGTAATTTCTTACAGACGTAGGGATAGGGGAACAGTCAGTTGCTAATTTAATGGATGGGCTTGGTAGACTCACTGGGATAGCCTTTCTGAAATACCAGCACCTTGAATGGTCACAATGAAGTACAATACAGAACACAGACTTTTTAAAACAGGCTTGGAGAAAAAAAATGGGATGGATTACAGCTAGAAGCACCAAAAAAAAACAAACAAACAAACAAACAAAACAAAAAACCCACACCTTCTTACTCAGTCCAATCACCTGCATTTTGCATGATTACTCCCTGCATCATTCCTGCTAGTGTCTTACCAGATCTGTTCTCAAATGTTTGTAGGATGAAAGAAAATTAATTAAAAAATAAATATTAAATGTACAAAACTGATATTTTGTATCCACAGCATAAGTAGTACAAGTCCATGTCTGAAGCCCCAAGAACTGAATTTAAAGCTCAAAATCTGTAGTTCTGTTTTGATACCCACCAGTTCATCCAGAAGTGCCTGTTTATTCTTCCTTTTTATAATCTGTTGCATTTGTTCCTCTTTCTGTATGAACAGTCGCCTTTGCTCGTTTTCCTGTCGTTCCACTTCTAAAGCTTCCTCCAGCTCCTCTTGCTCCCGAGTCTAAAACAGGAATATGAGAAATTTATTATAGAAAAAATTCTACATTTGGCAGATAAAGTGCTGCCACGGTGCCCTTCCCCCAAGTAAAGGGTGTTATCCTAATGTCTTGGGCAGGGATCTAGAGACAGGCAATGAAAATGATTAGAGACATGGGTAAGGCAAACACTTCCTCTGAAAAGTCTGCGACTCTAGTTTAAAAAAGGAAACAAAAAAAGAGGGTATAGCATAGGGAAAGTGAATTTGGTGCTCCTATTCACCCTCTCTGACAGTACAACAGCAAGGGGAGATTCAACTAAACTAAAGGGCAACAAATTTAAACTGACCACTTATTTAAAAAAAATACAGTTGATAATTAACCCGTAGAATGTATTGACACAAGAGATAATTGAGGCCAAGAGCTCATTAGGAGTCATATCCATAATGAAAATAACCACAGTTACATCAGACAGGGATATAAACATGTATGCTTCAGGAAATAAGCCAATCACAAACCGATGGGGCTTAGGAAGAATGACCCCACCTTGGGCAGGTTATGCCATCGTAATCCCCTATGTTGTTTCATGAATCTTCCTAGAACATAAGGCCATACTGAGTCAGACCAATGGTCCATCTAGCCCACTATCCTGTCTTCCAACAGTGGCCAGTGCCAGATGATTCAGAGGGAGTGAATAGAACAGGGCAATTTATCAAATGATCCATCCTGTCGTCCAGTCCCACCTTCTAGCAGTGAGAGGTTTGGGGACACCTAGATCATGGAGTTACATCTCTGACCAGCTAGGCTAATAGCCATTCATGGACCTATCCTCCATGAACTTATCTAATTCTTTTCTGAACCCCATTATGTTTTTGAGTTTCACAACACCCCCTGGCAATGAGTTCCACAGGTTGACTGTGCATTGTGTGAAGTTCTTCCTTTCATTTGTTTTAAAACTGCTGCCTATTAATTTCATTGAGTGACTCCTGGTTCATGCGTTATGTGAAGGGGAAAATAAAAACTTCCTTATTCACTTTTTCCACACCATTCATGATTTTATAGATCTCTATCATACTTCTCTCATTTGTCTCTTTTCTAAAATGAACTGTCCCAGTCTTTTTAATCTCTCCCCATATGGAAGCTTTTCCATACCTCTAATCATTTTTGCTGCTCTTCTCTGTACTTTTTTCAATTCTAATACATCTTTTTTGAGATGGGGCAACCAGAACTGCATGCAGTATTCAACATGTGGGTATACATGGATTTATACAGTGCCATTACAATGCCTTCTGACAGGGGTGCTGAAACAATTTTTATAGTGGGGGTGCTGAGAGCCATTGAACCAAACCGTAAACCCTGTATATAATGGAATCCACTTCAAGCCAGGGGGTGTGGTAGCACCCATGCCTTCTGTCTTCTTAGCTATCCCTTTCCTAATGGTTCCTAACATTCTTGGATGTTTGGCTGCTGCTGCACATTGAGCAGCTGTTGTCAGACAACTATCCACAATGACTCCAACATCTCTTTCTTGAGTTGTAATAGCTAAATTAGACCCCTTTGCTTTGTATGTATAGCTGGGGTTATGTTTTTCTGTGTACATTACTTTGCATTTATTTACATTGAATTTCACCTGCCACTTTCTTGCCCAGTCACTCAGTTTTATGAGTTCCCTTTTAAGTCTTTTCATTCAGCTTTGGACTTAACTATCTTGAGTAATTTTGTATCATTTGCAAACTTTGCCACCTCACTCTTTACCTTTTTTTCTAAATCATTTATGAATATGTTGAACAGCACTGGTCCCAATACAGATCCTTAGGGGACCCCGCTATTTACCTGTCTCCTCTGATGCATCTGATATTGGACAGTCGGACGGGATATCAGACTACATGGACCTCTTGTCTGATCTGATATGGCAGTTGCTATGTTCCTACAAGTTATACATGACCTGAATGATCTTTGATTTCAGAAAAGGAAATACAGTGCATCACCTTTGCCCTCACTGCTTTATACACATACATGGATATATGGAGGAGCTCTCTATTTGTTAAAACAGAAGGAGTCCTTATGGCACCTTAGAGACTAACAAATTTATTTGGACATAAGCTTTCATGGGCTAAAACCCACTTAAACTCTCTATTTGTTGGTTCTACTCCAGTTCAACACCTTCCTTCACAAACAAGGGAAACTCTTTGGTTCTCAAAAGGAAATGGTTCAAATTTATTATTTTCAGACTCCAAACTCCTAATGACAGGTTTCAGAGTAGCAGCCATGTTACTCTGTATCCTCAAAAAGAAAAGGAGTTCTTGTGGCACCTTAGAGACTAACACATTTATTTTACTAATGTGAGTGTTGAGTGCAAAAGGAATGCAGGATCAGGCCTTATTGTGTCATTTCTGTTACTATATTTGCCTGAATTGAAATATTTTCTTCTTGAAATGATATATATTTTTAATGCTAGAAGAAACACTTAAAACATTATAAATAAAAAAATCCTTACCAGGCTACTTTTAAAGGAGAGCAGAACTCTGTCTGAATCATATTTTAATGAAAAACCTACAGGAAAGTATGTATGGCCCCCATACAGACCACGTGTTTTATAGCCCTCTAAGAAGCAGTATCATCATTAGCATTTAAAAAGGCTTTTGTCTTGTTAAAGTATAAAAGTTTGTTTCACTATCACTTGTTTTAGATTTTGCATAAGCCAGGCCTTTGTTTTCCCATTCTCCAACTCTCTCTTGGGAGCTTCATAATGTCTCTGTCTGGATTTTTTTTTCTTCCTTTGGATGAGAAAGAAATTATTGTCCTGGAGTAGGAACGAACACAGTCTCTCCTGAATATTGTCCAAATACACTGCCAGCATACATATGTTTGAAGAGCATGCATTTACTACCTAGCTATGTCAGTCCCTCTCTCTCTCTCTAAACCCTCGTCAAAACAATGAGCACACAAAATTCAGTTGTCAACATGATCTCCTGAAGCAAGCAATCTTTAATAGAGAATACTTGCACATCACATTTTTCTTACTATGGAGTGTGTCAGTGTGTGTGTCGGAGTTTCTTCTTTTTTTCTTTTCTCCTCTAAGACAGCATTTTACAACTATTCCGCTTTAAAATACTTAATTCCTCAACTATTGAATAAGAATTTTTTTTAAAAACAGCAAACTAACCAGTTTTATCTTGTTTTTCTGAATGACTTCTTTGTTATCCTTCTGGTAATTATCCATTTTCTTTTTGGTGTTCTCCAAATCCACATTGTTTGTCAAGTTAAACACTGTATTGATATTTAAAAAAAGATGCATGAAATCATAGTATTAATCTGGTATGCGCGCACACACAACCATAGCCAATAAGTATTATTCTTATTTAATGCTCCTTGTCCCTACTACATTAGCAGCATATACCTAATTGAATACGGCAAAAAATCACTTGGACACACAAAGGCCAGATCCTGATCTTTGTTACATCACCGTCAACTCCATAGCAACTTAATTTACTTAAATGGAGTTCTTGCAAATGTCTTCCTGCATAACTGAAAGTAGAACCTGATGTTTTGCTTCCTTCATGGGATACTGGTAGAGTAATCCCCTGAACAGCAACCATAGCCAAGACGCACAAAAATTAGCCATAAACTACTTGTTATAAAGGCCAAGAAGAACCTAGACCAGAGGTCCCCAAATTGTGGGGCACCACCCCCCATCCACACAGGGATACTGAGGGGCATTCGGGGGTGATGGCAGGCTGGGCCAGCCCCAACAGGGGGCAGGGAAGACGCGCTACCCAGCCCCCGCCCAACTCCCACCCCATCCCTGGCTCCCGGAACGGTGCATAACCCCATCCTCAGCCTTGGCATGGCTCTGCACCTGGCTGGGGGCCCGGCTACCGAACCCCACCACAGTCTGACTATGGCTCTGCTCCTGCTCCCGCCCTCCGCCTCTGGCCATGGCTCCATCCCTGCCCCCTGACCCACGCTTAGCCTCTTACCCTTATCCACGTCCATCCCCCCGCCCCCAAGCCGCGGCCCTGTTCCTGGCCCTGGCTCCTGGGGGCCAGGAGGAAGAGAAGGGCAGGGGATTGCAGACAGGAGCAATGGGGAGCAAGATCTTCAAAAGTTTGGGGACCAATGAACTAGACTAAGTAGAATACACACACACCCCTCGTTACAAACGAGGCCCTTCCATTTCCTACGGGTCATTTGCCCTTGCTGAAAATCTCCACATTTATGCAAAGATCCATAAAAAGAAAAACAAGTTAACCTATTACTCAGTGCTATGTGTTGTGCTAAGCCTTCTTTGTACACAACAAATATTAGGAGGATTTTTCTCATTTAAGTTATGCAGCAAGATGAAGGATATGCAGCCAGGCCCTTTGTTTCGCTGAACATTCCCAATCATGTATATCTGAACTAAAGATGCCTCCAGGAATAGAGCAGCTTCTGTAGCAGGCAGATTGAAAGAACTAGGTGTGCAGGGGATTAGTAATTAGATACAGAGCCTTTCACCACTAGGTCACTGGTTCAAACTGGGGTCAAGTCAATTCTGACTCAAAGTCATTATCACATGAAGATCATTTGGTGGCCTCAGTCCAGTTCAGAGTGGACACCAGAGAGATCACCATACCCCTAAAACTAGCATAGATAGCAACCCACTCAGCACGAATCAACATGGAGACTGTACAGTCCAATCACACTCTTTATGTGGCCCCTCCAGAACATGGCTGAGGTACATTGACATGAAAGAGCAGGGAAGCTCGCACTGTCACTGTTAAACCCCTCACAAACTAAAAAGGACACAGTCCCAGCAACAAAAAGCTTGCAATCTGAATCATGAGGAGAGGAAGATGTTCCCGTGGCTAAAGTGCTATCCTGGGAGTCAGGAGTTCAGGGTTCAATACCTGTTCTGTCACAGACTTCTTGTATGACCTTGGACAAGTCACTTTGTCTCTGTGCCTCAGTTCCCCCCCACATCTGTAAAATGGGGATAGCACTGCCCTACCTTGTGGAGCTGTTGGGAGGAAAAAACGTATTCAAGATGGTGAGATGCTCAGATCCCCAGTGGTGGTGCCGCATAAGTGCCTTACACACACATAAAGAAAAGGAGGACTTGTGGCACCTTAGAGACTAACAAATTTATTTGAGCATATGCTTTCATGAGCTACATGCATCCGATGAAGTGAGCTGTAGCTCACGAAAGCTTATGCTCAAATAAATTTGTTAGTCTCTAAGGTGCCACAAGTACTCCTTTTCTTTTTGCGGATACAGACTAACATGGCTGCTACTCTGAAACCTGTCATTATATACACATGTGAATCACAGAAGATTAGGGTTGAAAGAGATCTCAGGAGGTCATCTAGTCCAACCCCCTGCTCAAAGCAGGACCAACCCCAATTAAATCATCCTAGCCAGGGCTTTGTCAAGCCAGGCCTTAAAAACCTCTAAGGATGGAGATTCCACCACCTCCCTAGGTAACCCATTCCAGTGCTTCACCCTCCTCCTAGTGAAATAGTGTTTCCTAATATCCAACCTATATCTCCCCCATTGCAACTTGAGACCATTGCTCCTTGTTCTGTCTTCTGCCATCCTCTTTCGAACCTTCAGGTAGTTGAAGGCTGCTATCAGATCCCCCTCACTCTTCTCTTCTGCAGACTACATAAGCCCAATTCCCTCAGCCTCTCCTCATAAGTCATATGCCCCAGCCCCCAATCATTTTTGTTGCCCTACATTGGACTCTCCAATTTGTCCAGAGCCTTTCTGTAGTGGGGAGCCCAAAACTGGACGCAATACTCCAGATGTGGCCTCACCAGTGCCGAATAGAGGGGAATGATCAGTTCCCTTGATCTGCTGGCAATGCTCCTACTCATGTAGCCCAAAATGCCGTTAGCCTTCTTGGCAACAAGGGCACACTGTTGATTCATATCCAGCTTCTCATCCACTGTAAACCCCAGCTCCTTTTCTGTAGGACTGCCATTTAGCCAGTTGGTCCTCAGCCTGTAGCAGTGCATGGGATTCTTCCGTCCTAAGTGCAGGACTCTGCACTGTCCTTGTTGAACCTCATCAGATTTCTTTTGACCCAATTCTCCAATTTGTCTAGGTCACTCTGGACCCTATGCCTATCCTCCAGCGTATCTACCTCTCCCCCAACTTAGTGTCATGTGCAAACTTGCTGAGGGTGCAATCCATCCCATCATCCGGATCAGTAATGAAGATGTTGAACAAAATCAGCCCCAGGACCGACACCTGGGACACTCCGCTTGATACCAGCTGCCAACTAGACATGGAGCCATTGAACACTATCTGTTGAGCCCGATGATCTAGCCAGCTTTCTATTCACCTTACAGTCCATTCATCCAATCCATACTTCTTTACCTTGCTGGCAAGAATACTGTAGGAGACCGTATCAAAAGCTTTGCTAAAGTCAAGGAACAACACGTCCACTGCTTTCCCCTCATCCACAGAGCCAATTATCTCATCATAGAAGGCAATTAGATTAGTCATGCATGACTTGCCCTTGGTGAATCCATGCTGACTGTTCCTGATAACTTTCTTCTCCTGTAAGTGATTCAGAATTGATTGCTTGAGGACCTGCTTCATGATTTTTCTAGTGACTGAGGTGAGGTTGACTGGCCTGTAGTTCCCTAGATCCTCCTCCTTCCCTTTTTTAAAGATGGGCACTACATTAGCCTTTTTCCAGTCCCTGGGACCTCCCCTGATCGCCATGAGCTTTCAAAGATAATGGCCAATGGTTCTGCAATCACATCCGCCAACTCCTTTAGCACTCTCGGATGCAGCGCATCCGGCCCCATGGACTTGTGCACGTCCAGCTTTTCTAAATAGTCCTTAACCTGTTCTTTCACCACTGAGGGCTGCTCACCTCCTCCCCATACTGTGCTGTTCAGTGCAACAGTCTGGGAGCTGACCCAGTCTGTGAAGACAGAGGCAAAAAAAAGAACTGAGTACTTCAGCTGTTTCTACATCGTCTGTCACTAGGTTGCCTCCCACATTCAGTAAGGGTCCCACACTTTCTCTGACCTCCTCCTTGTTGCCCTTGAAACCTTTCTTGTTACCCTTCACTTCCCTTGCTAGCTGCAATTCCAATTGTCCTTTGGCCTTCCTGATTACACCCCTGCATGCTCAAGCAATATTTTTGTATTCCTCCCTAGTCATCTGTCCAAGTTTCCACGTCTTGTAAGCTTCCTTTGTGAGTTTAAGCTCACCGAAGATTTCTCTGTTAAGCCAAGCTGGTTACCTGCCATATTTGCTCTTCTTTCTGCACATCGGGATGGTTTGTTCCTATGCCCTCAGTACGGCTTTTTTAAAATACAGCCAGCTCTCCTGAACTACTTTCCCCCTCATATTAGCCTCCCATAGGATCCTGCCCATCAGTTCCCTGAGGGAGTCAAAATCTGCTTTTCTGAAGCCCAGGGTCCATATTCCGCTGCTCTCCTTTCTTTCTTCCTTCTGTCAGGATCCTGAACTCGACCATCTCATGGTCACTGCTGCCCTCTACGCACGGAAGTGCTCAGTAATTCAACAGGACACAAGTGTAGCTGATATACTATTTCCATTTTTTTAATCTAACAGTAGGCAGGAACCCATCTGGTTCCATTAGCTTGTGTTTGTCCATTTGACTTACATCCTTTCTCCACTCACACTTTGCATAGGTACAGTGGAAGAAGTGAGCTTCTGGGAGAGTTCTGAAGTAGGCAAGAGAGCTCTATCAGCCCACAAATTGGGCAAGAGCATTCCATGCCTAGAGGGCCACAAAGAAGGTGGCAGAGTGGTGAGAGAGGCAGAAGGGAAGAACAAAGCAGGTGTCATTGGCAGAACAAAAAAGGAGAGAGACAATGACAGAGATATAGGTTGCTGCTTAGTAGCTTTTCATCTGGAATGAAGTGACAAGGAGCTGGAACCAATGACAGTGGCACAAGAACGGTGGTGAGGGGCATGATGCCACTCATATTTCAAACAAAAGTAACTTTGGAAAAATACAGCACGCTCTTGTAACCAGTGAGTTAGCATTCATTTTCAGGAAGCTAATTCCATTAGTCTGGGTTTAAATATAAATAAATAAATAAATAAATAGTATAGCATCCATAAAGCATGACACACTTTTGTAGCTGCCTAAAATGTTTAGGGATAGCTAACGTAATATCTCTAGTTTTCACCCTGACACATCAACAGGAATCATGGGCCTAGGTTCCTACCCAGAGAGCTCAATACTTATCCCTGGGTAAGGGAAACTTGTAATCCCTTCGACTGGAGCAATTGGGCTGAAT